AGCAGGCACAGTGGATAGTACTGGCTCCCACTTGGCAGAAGAGCAGCTGGGGGCCCAGAGTAAGTGTCCCGCCCTGGCTCACACAGGTGGAAATGGCAGAGCCAAGACTCACCTGTCTCTGTGCTTTTCTCTGATGTCTCTGGCTGGGCCCATGAGGCTTCCTGCCTTTGACCCCATTGAGCAGCCAACGCCAGGGGCCTGTCCGCTGATGTGCGGCAGGTGTGATCCCCTCCCCTCAGGAAGGATGTGGAGACCTGCCAGGGTTTCCCTTCATGGGGGAGTTGAGGGGCAAGTGTGCACCACCTGACTGGCTGGGGATGTTTCAGGGATGTGATGGGTTTTTGAGCACAGCCAGCCCAGCACTGCACATGTCTCGTCTTCTTTAATAGGTGGTAATGGTGAGGGTGGCACGTCTGGATCCCAGGCGACTTTGCCTTGCTGGTGTTCCTCCAGCCATGTGTCAGTCAGCTGCAGTGATGGTCTTCCTGTCTGTGGAGGAGAAGGGCCCAACCAGGTAATAAGGAACGGGTCAGGTCACCAGGTTTATGGTGGAGAACGACTCTGCTCTCTGTCACCCTAGCTGAGCCCAGCACGCGGGTCCCTGAGGGCTGCAGCTCCCAGGGCTTCATGGGAAAGTGTAGCCTGCAGGCCCACACCTCCCCCTGTGAATCACACCTGGCGGGACAAGAAAGCCCAAAACACCCCAAACAATGAGTTTCCAGTAAAATATGACCGACATGACGAGGCGGAGGAGAGGAGGGATCTAACTGGGAGTTGGCCCTGGCTCGTGCGTGATGAAAGCCCAGGGGGATGGAGGATGCCAGGCCCGCCCCCTACTCACGAGTATAAAGCTCCGGCATCCTCTCAGCCGCCCTGAGCACCTTTCTCTTCCCTCTGCCGACTCGCTCGCTCTCTCACTCACCTCCTCCTTGGCACCATGACCACCTGCAGCCGCCAGTTCACCTCCTCCAGCTCCATGAAGGGCTCCTGTGGCATTGGTGGTGGCTCCAGCCGCATCTCCTCTGTCCTGGCCGGAGGATCCTGCCGGGCGCCCAGCACCTATGGGGGCCTGTCAGTCACCTCCTCCCGCTTCTCCTCTGGGGGAGCCTGCGGGATGGGGGGCGGCTATGGC